AAAACTTGTATTTTTTTAAGGTTTCGATGGTGTTCCGTTACCCCCTCTGGCCCTCTAGACACCCCTTTTATCTATAGAGCTATATGAACTTGTAGCCTACTCTTACATCTTTTGATACAGAGGTTTAGGCATTTGGATAAGATTTGACAAAGTTATAACAATTTCAGTTATAAAAAAATTAATTTTGGAACCAGTTTCTTCAAGAAATCCATATATCAATAATTTCCTACTTAAAAACGTCATTATTTTTTTTTAAATTGTTCGTTATTATTAATTTTTTCACCATTAAAATACTTTTTGGAAGGGCTTTCTAATGATATATAACATTCTAGTATATGTTCAATTAAAAAAAATCAGTCCACGTACCTAATATTACTAACTGTCAATACCTCAGTATCACATGTTTAGTAATTTGCGAGGGAGAGGTAATAATTTAGAAGCATGTTTAGTTATTACTAGACGAAGGTAATACAGACTAAGGTTATTTTTAGGATATTTTTAAAGTATTTAATTATATAATTTCATTTAATATCATACTTTGTTATAATGATAATTGCTTAGTGCTTGATGATGAAAGAGGTTAATCAGGAATTAACACTTCACTATGTACCAACTGTTAAAGTTAAAATAATTAAAAATTAAGACATTATAATGAATATACATTTAAGACATGTGCTGCCTTTTAAGATATAATGCTTCAATGTAGTTTTCAGATTTGATAATAAGTTATTATGTAAAAGGAATGTATGAAGTTAATGAGTAGATGAGTATGACGTAGATGAGGCTGCCGTGACCTTTAGGTTATACTATTAAACCGTGTCGCAGCATTTACTACTACTTCTACGAATTAAGATTTTAAGATCTACTTAGTATTTTGGAGAAACTACGATAAACTTTATTTTCGTTAAGCGTAAATTCAATAAACTTTATTAATTTCATTCTTGACACTATTCTATTAATAATATATTTATCACTATTCAGTCTTAATCTCTTGAAAATATATATAATTTAAACAGAACGTTGCTCTAATATTAGCACAACTTATTAACAAAATTGAATAAAATATTATCATTGAATCAAATTGTTTCAAATATTATCATAAACTTATTCAAATATTTACTTGGATTTGGCAATTGTGCTATGTTAATATAATAACGATTTAAAAACGTCTCATCATTATGTAACAATTTAAGTCGGGTTTGTTACAATAATGTTAATTACAAACAGAAAAGTCGGGTGTTTTTTTAAACTAATATCATTTTCAAACAATTTAAAGCTGTGCATCAAAAGATCACGCTAAATAACTGTGTGTATTTAAGCTAAATAAGCTGATTTAATTTAATAATATAAAATCCTAGAGTAATATTACTAATATATTAATCTAGGATTTTATACTATTATATTAATTCTTTTTTTATTATTATTACAATAAGATTTTGTTTTAAGGCATAATATAGCAAATGTTTCTCGTTCAAATGTTTAATATTGCTAATATATTAATCTAGGATTTTATACTATTATATTATTAATAAAAAAAAAAAGAATTAATATTATTAATTCTTTTTTTTTTATTATTATTACAATAAGATTTTGTTTTAAGGCATAATATAGCAAATGTTTCTCGTTTAAATGTTAAAGGTGATGATTTTATTTTGTAAGGAATATCAATGAATTAACTTACACTCCTATGTAACAATAAAATGTTAGAACTTTTAAATTTGATTGATTAAAATATTTTAACTACAAATTTTTAAATCCTCTGCACTACCTGCCCTAAAGCGAATTGTTACTCAAATGATTCAATTGCAATAATCAAAAGAAAATAAAACTCCCTATTATTAAATGCGGATAAAATACGTCCCAAATTATTATAATTTGATTACATTGTTATTTATTTGTTTTGCTTTTTACTTGACACACTAGACAGCATTTTGTCTTTTTAGGGTTTACCAGGTCACCGTCATCCCAAGGTAGGGTTTATCAAAAAAAAACATCTAATTCAATAAAACTTTGATAATGTAAATAATCAAAAAAAAACATCTAATTCAATAAAACTTTGATAAAAAACTTTGGATGAAAGAAAACATTTTTAATTTCATTACATTCTTTTTTTTATTTTTAGTGACTTTGTAGTTACCTGTGATGAAAAGACAAGCTATCAGCAGCGGTTGCAACATAATCTTGGTTATTCAAAATTTCTGTGAGATGGTCTTAGACCTTATTCCCTCGGCGATTGATATATGTCATCAGCATTTTCCTTGAAAGAACCTGGAAAGTAGGACAGACATATTTCAGACACTTGCAAAATGCAAGTGTCTCTAGGGTTGGCCGCATGTCTAAGATAAATGATCTTAAAATTAATTAAAAAAATTACCAACATAAAACTTTAATAAGTTACTTAAATCAACTTTATGTAGTTTAAGTTAATAAGAAACTTTATCAACCTGTAGTACAAATCTAGAGGCTCTTTGTAATAAGACTTGGGCTGTTCATAAGCCTCTATACTCATCTGGTTTTCATTTGGCATCAGGTTTTCCCTGTGTTTGTAAGAGTTTTTCTTGCTACCTGAGGCCAAATCAGTCAAAATGTTTGCCTCAAAAATCACATATTTTTTATTATAATGGTTCTTCAAATTGAAGTGGCTGTTTTTTTGCGCCTAAAATTACCATTAGTTGGGACACAAAATTTTGTATATCTTATATAACTTTTTTTTTTTGTATATCCATATTAATATAAACGTTATGTATTGTAAATACTTTTTTTCTTAGTACCTTTATTTTTTAAAAAAATTTTTCCAAGATTATAAACAAAATAAAGTTTTGAAGAAGTTAATAGCCTAACTAAATTTTACGTTGTCAATGTTGCCTTTTTAGAGAAAATAGTCCCCTCATTGTTTAATTTGTATTGGTGCATCAATCCTATAAACAACGTTTAAAGGTGAATATTACAAGAAATTTCCCTTAGTTGGCCACTAAAAACAGGTATTTCTAGGTGCAGTATAATATTCCATATGAGAAACATTAATTGACATCGTCATTGTTTGAGTTAAAAATAAATTAATTATTTTAATCATTGGTACTGAATTCAATATTTCACCATTTAAATAATGCGATTGAAAAATAATTTTTTTTAATCTTAGTAAAAGAGATCGGATACTCTTTATAGTCTTGTGTAACTTTTCTTTACGGTTACATCATTTTTTCGTTGCGATTACATCATTATTTATCAAATACAATAATTTTCGCTAAACATATCACTCAATAATATTCGTGGTCTACGAAGTAACTTTTCTTCAGTTTAGTTTTATCTCTTACACAGTTCACCAGACCTACTTGCTCTTTTTGAGACTAATTTGAGTTTAGCTGTCTCATCAAAAATAAAATCTTACAAAGTTAGTACGTCGTACTCTTTGAATTATTACAAGATACCATTGCATATTATATACAATAACAACATCACTAATTTGAAAATCAGTAGCGACTCCTCTACTATCAGCTGAATATCGTTGTTTAAATCTCATCGTTATTTTAAATTGCATATCTCGCATCATCAGTTTCATCAATCCCGTCATCAAATAGATTACCCTCGACACAAATAAAGGATATCAGCATTCCTGTTCTTTTTATTTACTCCATCTGTAAAAATATACTCGAAGCATGAAGGAAATTACAAAATATTTATCTTAACTCACTAGAAAAGAATAAAATCACATTTTATATATTTTCATATAATACTTATGTTGGTTATTAGCAAATATAGAAGAAACTAGGGCTAGTTACCACATTTTTTTTTACTTTTTTAAGCTCAGAAGCTCATGGCACGTTTTTTTGTAACATATTCAAGTTGTTTATACTCAAGAGGTAAGTCGACTCACTTTATTCAAAGTTAATACTAAATGTTTTATAGTGTAATACAAATATTTTTAATTTTTTTTATTTATTTCCATAGGTAAGTAATTTCTACTAATATAGTTTTTGCTAATACATGACTAATAATTACCTTTTAGTGAGCAAAATGAGCATATTTCATGTTTTGTGAACTTATCATTTTGTATTTCATACTCACCATTGTAATTTTTAAAGCAAATGTGTAAATATAGTGTATAAAAGTAAAAACAGATTTTTTTTTAAGTATAAACTTCTTTTTTGCTCATTTTTATAATATCTTTTTAACTTTACGTTTATCTTCTGTCTCTAATTTCTAACATTTTTATTTTTCCTGATATCAATGATATCAAAATCCTAAAAGTGTACATTCAAAGATCAAAACATATTATCCAAAAAATTTATTTAAAATTTAGTTATTTAATATCAACAGCAATGAAAGAAATGACAGAATAAAAAAAATCTGGCATTTCTACACCAGCTGTAATTACGTTATAGCATAAATAATTTCGAAAATATTTTTAAATTTGTTCTAAAATGGGTAATAATATACAGCGAAGTAATATTTTCTAAATAAAATTATATATAAAGTCTTTTAAACACTTTACTGTAAACGGCTTTTATATTGAATCAATTTTGTAAACAACGCTTTTTTCATCGTTATTTAAAGTCATGCCTATCCAAACAAAATCTAATTAAGAAAAACGCAAAACTGTTATTTTCTTCGTATTAACAAAGCTAACATAGACCCAGGTAAGAAACAATATTGGCACAATATTGGGTATCTTGGCCAAGATATCCGATATTGCGCCAGTATTGACAAGCAATATTACGCCAATATTGCCTTACCAATGTTAGCAAACAAAATTACGCCTAACTTGGCATATCAATATTGGTTAATATTAGCATGTCAATATTATCCCATATTTGTTTTACTTATTATGGAATGCCAATATTGGTGTAATATTACCATTCCAATATTGACTAATATTGACATGCGAAAATTTGTGGAATATTGTTTGTCAATATTGGCTAAATATTGAATTGTTAATAGTGGCTAGCGTAACAGTTTAGGAAATTCATAATTTCCTTCACTTTTCTTATATAGAAATTGTGTAATAGTATCTTTTTTTAAGTCTTATAGCATATTTTTACGTAAATTGACATCCTTATGTTATTATTTTATTACAATTAAAAAAAAAAAAGATTTTGATTTGTTATTTATGAAAAAACAAAAAGTGAAGTGTTTTTAGTTTATCATTTACAGAATGAATCACAAGAAGAAGGGATTGTAATTTGTTTAGAAACAGATCGTTTCACAAAAAGAAGTGGTAAAAGTAATAAAATCCTTTTAGTTCGACATTTACGGATTGAATCATGAGAAGAAGTGGTTGTAAATGATTAAAGACAGATTGTATTACGAAAAGAAGTGGTTGTAATCAATCTAAAACAGATTGCATCACGAGAAACTGTGGGAAAATATTGCTATACTATAAGTAGCAAGAATAAAATAGTAAGTTACTTTTATACAAACATTTTTTGAGTTAATTTCATCTGTAAGATATATTCTAAAGTCTAATTAATTTGTTAAAGATATTCATTTAAAAAATAAATACATCACAATTTATTCTTTACTAAGATTTTAATTAACTAATTTAAATAAAATATTGTTATTGCTTCTAACTGTTATAAAATGTTAAGTTTATGTATAACATAATTATAATATAGAGGAGAGTGGTGTACTTCAGAGGTATTTTCACACTTTTACAAGTATAAAATTTTATTATATTATTATAGATTTTTTATCAAATATGCAGGCAAATTTTTTCATCCCTTTTTAATTTTAAAAAATAGCTTACACCACAGTCAAGGTGCACCTGGTGGTGTACCTTGGAGGTATGTATGTTATACCTTGGAAGTATTTTGTTTTAACAGATTAAGATATTTTAAATGTTTACTTATAGGATAATTGGACTACTATCTCAAGGCTAATGTAAATCAGCCTCGTTTGAGATAATAATAATCTACCTAGTTAGATTTATACAAACTATATATTAAATTAAATTTATGTTGAATTTATATGTTGATAAATTTAAACTAATTTATATTTAGAAGTGTTGTAAACATATAAAAGAAGTAAAGTTGATCAAGAAAAGAGTAAAACTCAACATCTACTTTAAAGTTTAACAATATTAAGTCTTTCATTTTGATTTAGCATTAGTTCACTCTACACTCTTGAAATCAGGTACGCTCAGGTAAAGTTAATGGCAAACTGTCGTTCAAAACCTCCTGTAATAGAATGATGTGAAAACTGAAAGACCATGTCTGATTTCTCTTAATTATTTACAAGTTTATCTTCTCGTTGATAACTTTCTCAAATTACCAAAGAGAAGAAAAGAAAAAAGTAACTACAGTTTAACAAAGAAACAAATACATTATATTATACTAAAGTAAATCTTAAAAAACAAAAAAATTGTAATAAACTATAACAACGTTGTTTACATTGATAATTTTACCCCCATGATGTAACTTTAACATATAAAACATAAAACATACTACTGTCAATGTTACCTAATATAGCGTTAACACATTACAGTAGTGTGCTAAAAATTAAGGCCACATGTAATTTCACAAGTTTTCTTCAACACAACAGAATAATTTTACTTTTTAAATTAAATGTTTGGCAACTTTATTAATTGATATAGCACAATGTGTAATGTACCAGTCCTTGTTATTTATCATTCTATGCACTAATATTTGGTTGGCAAACCGCGATTTTTTAACACTGCATTAATACGTGCAGGCATGCTACGAACCAGAGTTTTACAATAATCCGGCGTAATTTCTTTCACCCAAACGTCCTTCACAATACGTTTTAAGTCCTCTACTAACTTGGGTTGGTGTGCCGCAACTTTTTTTTCCATTAAATTCCAGCAATTTTCTATTACATTTATGTCCGGTGAACTTGATGGCCAGTTGTTCAAGGTCATAACGCTGTTTATCGTGAACCAGTTCTGTGTTGTCTTAGCAACATGGCATGGTGCTGAATCTTGTTGGAATATTGTAGTTTTTGAAATATTCATGTGTACTTTTAACTTTCTATTCAAAATATCAATATACAACTGAGCATTCAGTCTGGTTGTGTCATCCATAAGCTGAAGAGGCCCGGTCCTTGACTGAAGATACACCCTTAAACCATAACACTTGGGGGTGCTTAATTGTTTTCAGCGTATACTTTGGATTCATGCGCTGTCCAGCTCGACGTCTTACATAATTGTAACCTGATCCTCTGACCTTCTCGAATTTGCTTTCGTCGCTAAACTTTACTGTGTCCTACCATTCCACACGTTTACCTTAAAAGACCTTACAGAACACTTTTCAAAATGGTATGTAAAAAGATATCAAAACTATACGTAAATCTCACAAAACCCTAACACATGCTGACAAAACATCAAATATGTATGAACTGTCTAAAGAAGATTACAATATTCTGTTAACAAATGCTATTACCACTACCTACAAAAAAGCAAATCCAAAATTAAAAGACCATATAAACAAAGAAGGAAAACAAATTTTAACCAACCACGAGGTATATAAAAAAATAGAAATAAACGGATCCTCTAACTGTTTTTTCACTTTGAAAGATCACAAGGAAAACTTCGCTTATAATCCATCTGTGCGCCTTTTGAACCCTTCAAAAAATGAGGTAGGACAAATTTCTAAGGTAATTTTGGCAAAAGTTAATTGTGAACTTAAAAATAAACTTTTTTTGAATCAATGGCAAAGTACGCAAATGTTTTAGACTGGTTTAAAAAAATCACCAATAAGCACTAATACAAATTCCTAGTTTTTGATGATAACGATTTCTACCCTTCCATAAAGGAAATCACCCTCAACAATGCTATGAATTTTGCTGACCATCATATCGTTATCAAAAGCAAAGACAAAGCATTAATAAAGCATGCAAGAAAATCTCTTATCTTCAACAACGATGAAGCATGGATTATAAAAAGAGGTGGGTTGTTCGATGTAACAATGGGGGCATTTGATGGTGCTGAAGTTTGCGAATTAATAGGTATTTTCATACTGTATCAAACTTCACAATATTATAATAAAGAAGATTTCGGCCTATATCGTGACGACGGTCTTGCTGTATTCAAGAACAAAAACGGTCAGCAAATGGAAAAATTAAAAAAGCATATAACACTCATTTTTAAAAAAAACGATCTTCAAATCACCATTCAATCTAATTTAAAAATTGTTAAATACCTCGATGTTACGTTAAATCTAAGTAACGATACGTTTCAACCATATTCTAAACCTGATAATCAAATAAGGTACATCCACTCTAATTCTAACCACCCTCCAAGCATAATAAAAGCAATCCCTCGCAATATTGAACAAAGATTATCTTCCATGTCAAGTAATGAAATATTCTTCAAAAAGGCTATTCCACCGTATGAAGAGGCTTTAAAAAAATCGGTATATAAATTGAACCTTACCTACCAACCACAAATAATCTCAAGTCAAAATCAACAAAAAAAGCAACGTAAACGTAATATTATTTGGTATAACCCTCCGTTCAGTTTAAACGTCAAAACAAAAATAGGAAACCGTTTTCTAGCCCTTATTGACTTACATTTTCCAGCCGGCCACAAGCTACATAAAATATTCAACCGAAATTCCATTAAGATTAGCTACAGTTGCATGCCTAACTTAAAATCTATCATAAATTCGCATAATTTCAAAATTTTACACAACAAAAATCAATTAAAAACCAACCAATGTAACTGCGTAGATAAGGCATTTTGCCCTTTGAACAATCAATGTTTATCTAACAGTATTGCCTATCAAGCAACCGTAAGTTCCAGTCATCATGATTGGAAAAAAGTATATTTTGGCAAAGTATATATATAAAAAAGTATATTTTGGCATTAGTAATACACCATTTAAACTAAGATACGCAAACCATCTCAAATCATTTGCATCAGTTAAATATAGAAATGACACAGAACTATCTAAGGAGGTATGGAACTTAAAAGACCAAAACATAAAGCCCATTATAGAATGGAAAATTGTCAAACGTTGTAAACCTTACAATCTAGCAACAAAAATATGCCACCTTTGTCTCTACGAAAAATATGTAATTTTATCACATAATGGAAAAAACCTACTGAATAAAAAAAACGAAATCGTATCTCAGTGTCGACATTCAAAAAAATTCCTCTTATCTTTATTTGACACAGGGGACTAATAAACTATAACGGCTTTTTTTTTTTTTTTTTTTTGATTTGTTTTTTTCCGTAGATTTGTTTATAACGTCAGATGTCATTCTACAGTAATTTTTACGTTTTTGTAACGGTTTGTTGACGTTTTTTGTTTGTATTAACGGCTGATGATTGCCTTCGGGCATGAAACTTTAAGTCCCACTAATCAGTTGTTTTTATTCATCTAAATATAATTGTATATATATATATATATATATATATATATATATATATATATATATATATATATATAGATTAGGGGTAGACATTTTAAGAGAATTTTTAAAAACGAAGCACATACCCAGCTAAAGATGAAGCAAATAAGCTAAAACTTTTTTAGCTTAATTGGGTGGTTTTTAAGTCCTCTTCAAGACTTCAAAAAAAAAAAAAATTTTTTTTTCGGTTACTTAGGTGATTTTTAAGATTTAAGATTCAGGGTTTCAAGAGATGTGAAGTAGATGATTGTGAATGCATTTTAGGTTTAAATAAAAGACCATGGCTTAAAGCGGGGTTTCAAGTAATGTCAAATAAAAATATTATCAAGAACCTAATGAAGATGAAAAAGGAGTATTCGGATGAAAAAGAAGTATTCGGATTTGAGTAGAAATAAATACAAAGGAACAGCTAGAGACAAGGTTAATCAGGGAGAATTTATTTCATTTTTGAAAAAGCTGTTTTGGATTGGTTCTACAAAGTTATGAAAGGATATGGAATAAAATACAAGTTTATACAAATTTATGGAAGTAAATACAAATTTATGGAAGGATAAAAAACGCTCAGATAAAGATAAGAACGCTCAGATACGATGATTTAACTTTTTTGGAAGACCAGGAAGGACCGACACATTTTAGTTTGGCATCAGAAGATAGAAAATTTAGTAAAAAGGTTTTATGTTGTTTCTGGGGGTAATTTGACCTTTTTTATTAAAAGTTGCTGATTCAACATGCATTATTATTTAATAAACATACACCATGTTAAAACAAATCTTAGGTTTCTGAAGGTGTGATGAAGAGGACAAGGCTAGAAGACGAATCTCCTAAGATTGACGCTACTTTGGAATCAGACTTGAGTTTTACTGACACTAGTGCTGATTCTGATTGAGAATTTGAATCCGAAATTTGGCATCATAGAAGAGCAGTTGTTAGTAAATTTACTGCCATAAGTCCCTAAAAATAATTTTTATGGAAATGTATCTATCATAGCTACAGCAAATGATATCTCCCCCAATGTCTTACAAAAAGTAACTGGAGCAATTCTTCAAGATTGTGGAGTTGATATCGCAAAATGCAAAACCAGTGCTTCAACAGCATTCAGGAAGATAAAAATAACTGCTAAGTATACTGCAGAAAATGCTAAATTAGACAAAAATAAGGTCGTGGAAAAAAGCCATTATCCCTGTATAATTCATTTTGATGGAAATATTTTGTTTGAAATGAATCAGGGAAAAATACTGAAGAATGAAAGATTAGCTGTGCTCGTTAATATTAAAGGGTGTCGCATCTTCTTGGAGTACCTGCCTTGCCGTCTTCTTCAGGTGAAGATATGTATATAGGAATCATGAAAATACTAGAAGAATATGACGTCATTTCAAAAATATGCGGAGTATGCTTTGATACAACTTCAAGTAATACTGGTTCTAAAAAAGGATCACTTATTAGGATTGCAAGAGAGGTAGACAAAAACCTTCTTCTACTAGCATGTAGGCATCACATCATTGAGCTTAAAATGGTTCATTTCTGTGAAGCAGTGATAAAAGAGTATAGCGTAGGGCCTGAAAATCCCGTATTCGTAAAGTTCAAACATATGTTTGAAAACCTAAATTCAAATACGACAAAAATAACCTGACCTCTTTTGATTGGAAAACTGTGGAAGAACAGTTTTGAAGGAAGCTGCAATGAAAACTTTAGATTACTCTGAGACCTATATTACTAAAAATCTTGCTAGGTTTTTAGGCAACAGTTTTTACTACCTTAAACTTCAGCTTTTGTGCGAGCAACTGACATTTGTGCAAGAAAATAATAATCTACGCGAAAATTTGAAACTCATCTGCAAGTTAATAGTATGTTTCTACACAAGGTGGTACCTTCAAGCGCATGGAGCAATTCAGTCTCCTGCATCTGATCTTGATGCAATTTTTTAGATGAATGAGTGTAAGAAAGTTTGCTTCAATCTGGAGACAGTAGGCTGAGTCAGCATCTCTTTATAAGCATACATAGTATCTTGATTCAACGATTATTCCCTTGGCTCTTTTGTATAAAAATATTTCTTTGGATAAAAAAACAGTCATTACCGAATCCATATTCTTTTAAACATAAAAGCAAAGACCGAGAAGACGAGATTAATATCATAAATAATATGAAAGTACCAACCCACTCTCTTTTGGTTAATGAGTTTTCAAATTTAATTTTTTCAATGATAGGGTTGGATAATCAGAGAGTGAGAGACTGGTTGTCACATCCACTCTATTATTCCAGATCCAGTCCACGTTTAAGAATTTTGAAAAATTTGTTCAAATGTTAATTGTTGTCAATGATCATACTGAACGAGTACTCGGAATGATGCACTAGTTTGTGAAAAGGCACGAAAATGAAGATGACAAGCACAACGGACTTTTAACTGTAGACAAACTAAGATCAACTTTCAAGGTTTTTGATGTGGGAAAAAGTAATATTACAAAAAAAAAAAATTTTTAAAGAGTGACATAAGGTACCTGATGTCTTTCTCTAAAGTAAAGACAAGGAAATTGTAGATTTAGGAAATTCGATTTAGGAAAGTTGTTTATTTATTTCAATTAATGCATAATTTTTGTCTTGATAGTTATTGTAAAGATTTTTATTAATTGGTAAATCTCCCTCAAACACCCTGAACATACCCTATTTTTCCTTTTTTGAAGAACAATATCTAATCAACTTTAATCTTGAGGGGGACTTAAAAGTCACCCTATTGACTTAAAAAAAGTTTTGACTAAGTTTTAACATATTTTCTCCAATTTCAGCTATGTATGTACTTCTTTTTCAAAAATTACTAACCCTATTATACACATATATATATATATATATATATATATATATATATATATATATATATATATATATATATATATATATATATATATATATATATATATATATAAAGACACACACACTATTTATATAAATTATACTTGCAAAATCGTCATTTTAAGCGTTTTGACGAAGAATAAGTTTATTCACTTACTGTTTGGATAGGAGCTGTGTAAGTGCAAAACATTAATTTCGAGTTGTTATTTCGTATAGATTTATAAAAAAAAGTCTCAGTGCTTTATAAAATAACCTAGAAAAATAACAGTTTTATTTCTATAGGCCTACTAATGTAAAATAAATATTATATTTTGTCTGACAGGAAATAAGTTAGTTAAACAAACATGAAAATTTTTGTTTGTTGGTTTTTTAATGAATAATCTTGTAAAAAAGATACAACATTACTTCAAAGTAGTAATGTTATATGATGAGTGCTCATTGGTAGGTAAATTTTATATAATAAGTGTTCATAACTGTAAAATAGTGGTAACATAATTTTATAACAGAATCCTGGTAAAACGTTAATTATTAATAAAAACAAGTAGTACTTCTCAACTAATAAAAAAATAATACAGTATTATTAATACTGTAAAAACCATTGTTCATGGGTAGATAATTTTATAAAGTTTGTCAAAAAGGATTATAAACTTAGACTCACCTTATATGAACTTGAATTATTGAATTACACCTTATAAGAACGTGAATATGAACTGTTCTTGCATTCTAGCGATATCGTCAGTAATGTCATCAAAATTGGTTTTGGTTGTCGTGTCAAATAATTCATATCGTTGACAGGGATGAGAACTTTGCTTGACACATAAGACGATAAATATGTCTTGATAGTTTCAAGCGGGAAAAACTCCTTTCTGCGCTTGCCATTGTAACAAATATAGTCAGTAAAATTCTATACGCCACAAATGCATTTTGAATTTGTGTAATTTATATAATTAGTCATTTGTTCACACGTTCCCTTTCAAGGGCTTTGCTGCAGTATTTGCAATAACAAGTAAATACTCCACTTTAGGCGTTTGCTTCGCGCATTCCACTGCAGGCTTATCATCTTCCTCGTACAAAAATATTCTTTTATTTTTCTGTCTGACTTTTTTTAAATTTGGCTTTACACTCAGAGTTTCACGAACTTCTTTTGGTTTAAAAACTTTAAAAACAAACTTTTTTGTAGGGAAATGGTTCCCTCAAAATGTGAGATAGGACATATATGCAAAATTAAATTAGACAGAATTAAATAAATTCTTTAAAATTAAATAAAATTTACAACAGTGGGAAAATATCACTGATATTATAAATTGGTTTGTCATTATCAAAAATAACAACGGCAATTTTACATTCGTGTTGTTCATATCAATGAGTCGAAACAACTTTTTTATAGTGATTTAGGTACTTTCCGTGGTCAGGGTAAGGGTTAGGGTTAATAAGTTTGATACTCAGAACAAAGTTCTTTTGTATCGATCGTGAAAACTGGGCTGGTAGTCAAGAGAGAAGCAATTATAAAAGATTTCTCAATAAAGTTTAAGTGTTAGAATAGTATTTACACAAAGTTGGACAGGTGTCCAGGGAGGAAAAGTTAATTAATTTTTAGAGGGGGGAAAAAATTTAAATTTTAAAGTTATCATTATCTAGGAATAGTTTAACATTATTATTATCTATGAAAATTTAAAGTTATAATTATCTATGAAAAATTATTGTTATGTCACACAAACCTCATCTATGAAAATATTTTTTAAAAGTTATTATCTATGAGAATTAAAAGGTATCATTATCTATGAGAATTTAAAGTTGTTATTATCTATGAAAAGTTAAATTTATTATTATCTATGCAAATTTAAAGTTATTATCTATGAAAATTTATACTGGTACTA